GGGAGAAGGCGGGCGAGTGGGGGGTGAGGGTTGTTGGGATGGAGTGGGTCGCGCAGGTCGTTCAAAGCGGAGAGATTCCGGGGGTCGACGCGCAGGACATGAGTAAAGGAAAGGGAAAGGGCAAGGAGAGAGAGGCCATTGTGGACGTCACCAACACCGCCACGCGCCCGTCAGCAGTGCCGGCGGTACAGAAAGCCAAAACAATGCCGGACGTGAACACGACGAACCGCGCGCCCAGCCGCGCGCCGTCACTACAGAAACAAGCGCTCGAGCGCGCGCGGACGGCTCCCGTCGACGAGCCGGGGCCGCTGGGCAAACAAACCCTCTTGCTCTCATCTCGCTCCAAATCCAAGGCGCCTACGCCCGCTCCTCCTCCAGCACCTCCTACCCGCACCACGCCTGCCCCTCTCCCTCCGGCTGCACAAACGACCCCCGCCCCACCAACCCGCCTCTCAACCCTCCAACCCCACCCCAAGCCCGCAGACTCGGGCAGCGACACCGAGCCCGAGCCCGAAGAAGACGAGCTGCCCCCGCCCTTACCCTTCCCTCCAGGGAGCCGCATAACGGGCGTGCCCTCGTCGAGGACGCCGTCGCCTATGAAGATGCCGCCCAGCGACCCGAGCGCTCAGAGAGAGTCGTCGCCTCTGGGCCCGCCATCGTCGCCTGCGCCCGGTCCGCGATCCTCACCCGCGCCCGCGCCCGCTTCGCAAGGCGCCTCGTCGGTCGCCCAAGCCGGCTCCTCGCCCGCGCCCACCTCCGCAGCAGGATCCTCGCCTCTCAAACCCAACCCCGCCACAACCCCAAACTCGCCCGTAAAACGCACCCCGAAATCATCCCCCATGCGCCCCGCGCCCGTGCCCGCCGCCGCCGCGCGCGCACTGCACGAGTCGATGTCCGTCCTCGGCAAACGCGCGTCGTCGGCGCGGATCGAGGAGCCCGAGCCGCCGCGGCGTCGCAAGCGGCGGCCGCGTCCTCGGCCCGCCGCTCCTCCCGCTGATAAAGCGAATGATAAGGATGGGGAGGAGGACGGGGGGATGAGGATACGGATTCCGGAGGTGTACGAGACGAGCGCGAGCTACGAGATTCCGTCGTATATGCGCGGCGACGGGGAGGACGATCCGATGGCGGCGATATATGGGGGCGGGATGTTTGGCGGAGGGGGCGTGTTTGGG